GAGGAACCTAAAGGAGTCTGGCCAAGGAAATACAGCTCTTTCTCCTCCTTACCTGAAAGAGACTTTTTATTACAAGCATCAAAAACCTATCACAGCAGTGAATGCTCACAGCTTAACAGAAAACAATGTGATTTAAAACCAAAACCAACAAACCAAACAACAACCAACTAGCCCCACTAGCTATTCCTGGAACCTACTTTGACACTATCAAGCCCTGACATGCCCTGCTTAGCCGGTGATCAGAAGCCAAAAAACTAACAGATTTGGCCTGCGCAATGTAGCAAACTAATTAATTTTTCTTACCTCTGATTCTAGCAAAGTCCCTTCTTCCTTATTGCTCGATACTTCATTAGTTTCTTGAGCATTTAGGAATAATTTCTGAAAAATAAAACATCTTTTAAATGTCTGTCACATGCAAGGCAGCTAAAATCCAAGAATTGTGAAAAACAAATATTTATACATATGCCCATTTTCCTCATCAATCTTAAACTACAGCCTTTCCTTGATCCAAGAATAAATGTTACAGAGGTGTTTCATATGGTCATTCTAATACTGCCCAAAAGTCACATCTTCCAGGGCTTACCTCTCAACAATCATTTACATTATCACAGAGGCAGTACCACATACAAGTCCACAGCCCTCCCCCCCCACCATAACTCTGCCTGGGGTTTTAACTCATTCCATATCTTCAGTGTTACAGTTCCTTCTACTTACATCTGATATTTAAAAAGTATGTTCAGAGATAGTTACCCAAAGACAGACAGTTCTGGCACGTTCACACAACCTGTTAAGTTGCCAGAGCACAGGTGGTGTTTTCACCTACCATTCGGTTCTGCTGCCATTCCTGATGTTCTAAAGTTATGTCTTTAAGAGTAACTACAAATTCATCTTTTATCAAGCTCAGCGCCTTGTCTGGCTGGGATTTGTCCGCTGAAATGACACACTTCATTTTCTGATAGTGGTCATGAATATTCATCAGTTCCTAAAATAGAAAAAGATACTCTTCTCAGGAAAAACAGATTCCAGCAGTAAAACAAGACTGGTCCTCAATGAACAAAACCAGGGTTATACAAACCACTCTAAGGAGACCATGGAACTAGCAGGAGTGTTTAGATCAGTTCAGGTTTAGGGAGCCTAGCAATAATGCTACCTAGCACTGTCACATCAGTCCACTAAATAAGCAAAAAAAAGAAAGAGTATCTTGAATTATTTAAACTAAGAAGGAAGTTTCAGTGATATTCAGGATCAGTGTTCACAGAGGTCTCATTCTGATATGGTGGTCTATTTTCATCTCTTTGGAGACAACATTTTAATTCCTCCTTTTGAGGAAGCAGGTCTTCTCACCCCGACATTTCACAGATTACTGATTTTTGTACCACTGTAGTGAACCTTACTGATGATACCTATTTGGTAACAGCACCTGGAAAAACCTGTAAACAAAGCATCATAACAAGTAATACAAGAACCTATACCCAGCTTAAATTCCCTATTTTTTATAAAATGTATTATATATTAAACAAAACCAAGTTTTAAAAGGAGAAATAAAGGTTAGAGAAGGCTATAAACTTGCAGATAACCAAATTCAGTATTACCTCAAGTATCAAGCTTCCAGCTGCAACCTGCAGACAGATCAAAACAAACACGCTTCCCCTTTCTCTATCTTAGTGACAATTAACTATTTATACCCTTCCCCTTTTACATCTTACTGAGGCAAAATCACAAAACATTAGAGCATATTTCAGCATTGAGAATGGTACCACAAATCTTCCATAATAAATGCAGTGGTTTTGAGCATTCGGTAAAATTGCTGGGATGGACGATTACCCTAGTCTGCATTCCATAAGATTTACAAAGGACAAGACTGTGCTCATTAGATAAGTTCTAGCCCTTGGACAACAGAAGAAATAAAACAAAGCAACAAAAAAAAACATGATTAATCTGTAGTTTAAAAGTTACTGTACCTCCAATACATCATTAGTGATGAGGCTGTTTACTCTGTTACTTGGGTCCTTAAATTCTTCTTTAAATTCATTTTCCTGAATCACCTTCTTAGTTCGGTAGTTTAGCTATAGCAGGAAACAATGATTTGTAACCTAAAAGCAAACTAAAAATGACACCCCCTCTTGAAAATTCTTACTGCATACCCAACCATCAAGAGATGCCAAAAAGCATAAAACCATCTCATCAACAATACCATGCAGCTTTACTGTCGAGTGCTCAGTCAGCATTTAAAAAAAATTACTCCCTAGTCAAGAATTTAATCCAGCACTCAGATTCAAGAGGATGACATTTCTAGAAATTATAAGTCATCTCAAACCTAATAAGAACATTAGATACTCAAAAAAATATTTTCAAGTGAGAAGCATGACACATTCAAATATTCTTGAAGCTTTACATCACGTACCTAGATACACAGAACAAGACTTACTACATTTCAACACAGCCCCAAAGCTAAACTAAATACATGAGTGCTGTTGAACTGTCAGCTATTGAAAGCTGAAGATATTTTATTAAAAATGGCAAATCATTAATGTAATAACTCACCAGCTTTGGCATTGCTGTGAAATGGAATGCTCTGGCAAGTCGCAGTGTCCTAAATATGAATGCTGCGTCATAATGCTGGGAGTCTATCAGATCCTGTTGAAATCTCTGGATTTCAGGCCAATCTTTGAGCGCAATTCTGATCTGCAACAAAAGTTGTATATTGTCATCCTGACCTGCATATTTCAACAAAATTAATTCAGCTGACTACTGTGATCATGTTATACTACACGCAGTTCTTGGATGTCTAGGGTGTAACATGTGACGTGATCACAGAACTACAGAAAGGATCCTACTATAACAAGTTACTACTATCAAAATTTTATTCAGATAAGCTTATTATAGTGTTGTGTTAAATATTCTCACTGCAGTTGCTTTCTCTGACATTTGAAAAAGTTAACTCTTCACATTTCAAGATGATGGAAACAATACACACCTAGGAGACACTCACTCACTCACTAGATGATTAGGAAATAATAATTGTACCATGATTTGTTGTCAGTGAAATGCTCATAAAAGTATCCCTAGCTCCTTGCTTTCCTTCCTCTCCATGTACTCTGTCCACTTCATTCTCTCTACCCAAATTAGCTTCTTTAATAATTCCTGGACTCTCTAACAGTTGCTATATAGCAGTAGTTTCAAAATTTCCTAAATTCATCTCCGTAAAACGTATTGACTTCTTTGAAGTTCAGATATGAGATGTAATTGCATCATTGTAGAATACTTCAGTTTCTTATTTAAAGAATTTGGACTCAATTGTGCATATGGACTCAATACATCACAGTTTCCAAGTAAAACACTTCTCCTTGTAGCGAGTTTCCAACGACTTTACATACTGATCTCCTGTCCTAGAAGCAGCAAAGAGACATTTTATTCAGGCATTTGTCCTTTCAACCTATTTACAAATTCCACTTCTGCTTCTGGTTAACAGGAACTGGAAATAATTAAGCCAGTCTTCATTCTGTTGATATTCTAAGGAACAACTGAGGCTGTAATGGAGCTCTCCACAGAGCTGATGAGCACATTCACTGTTCCCATCTTGAAAGCTTGCCATCTTTGTTTTTAAATAGAGAAGAGATTCCTATCTGGCAAACTAGGCTTCTGAGATCACAGCTACAATTTAGGAGGTATACACAATACTTTAGTCACCACCATGTAAGTTCTCAAATCCAAAGGTACTTGAAAGGTGACCTTTTCTAAAGGGACCATCTGGTTCTAAGTATATTTATTTTAAGACAGCGAGAGAAAATGTCCTACCCATTTATGCTGACAAAGTAGACAGTTACACCATATATCTTACATCTAGTATGACCTGACAATAAAACCTCAAGAACAATTACCTTTTGTTTTGGCTGGCAAACCTGTGTATTATACAGCCCATACAAAAGGTACAGAGCACCAACTCTAATTTGGAAAGCGTAGGGGGGCAGGAAGTACTGCTGTGCCAGTTCTAAAGTCTTCTTTGTGAGCTTATTCCTCTCCAAAGCTCTTATTTTACCACTAAAGTAAACAAAAAAGAAGCATGTTAAAGCAAGTAACTATGAAAGTGAAGGCTTTAGAAAGTCCATAATGCAGAAACAAGTTTTAGGTATTTTAAAACATATTACCACAAAGCTCAAGTTTTGGGACATTTTCAAAGACGGCCAGACCTTAAGCTCTCACACAACACTGCATGTAATTCCTTGTATCAAATTAAACATAAAGTTAAAAATTAAATACCCCCCAATCATATTTCTATCTCACAACGTGAGCATTGCATCAAACTCCCTAAAGCACTAGTATTAAAGTCACATGCATTACTAATGCACAAAATAAACTGAACTGATATCTGCTTCTCAGTATCACACAGGGACTGACGCTTCATTGCCGTTTACCTACACACCAGCCAGGCAAGCCCTTCCCGACCGCTACGCCTGAAAGGAAACGCGGCTCCCCAACAGCCCCCTGGAAGGTTCCCCCGCACTACGAAGGGGCAAGCTCAGCGGAGGGGGAGCTGAGGGCTTTGGGAGGGGGATGCCCGACTCCCTGAGGCGAGACTCAGCCGCTGAGCTCCGCGCAGAGAGGCGAGAAAGGGCGGCCGGAGCCGGGGCCGCTAATGGCGGCTGGCAGCGGGCAGGCCGCGGAGGAGGAGGCGGGCAGGGCTCCTCACTCACTAGAAGATGGTGTGGAAGCGGCGCTCCCGCCACAGCTCGGCGAAGCGCTCGAAGCGGACGGTGTCGGCCTGCTGGAAGGCGCCGAGCAGCTCCTCGCAGTCGGCCTGCAGCCCGGGCACCGAGCTCATCCCGCCGGCACCGAGCTCCCCCCCACACCGCTCTCTTCCCCCCCCCGCGCATGCGCGCTCGCCGCGGCCGGGAGGTGCGGCGGGGCTTCCCTCAGGCGGGCGCCGCCTCCGCGGGGACGGGAGCTGGCTCCGCCCGCCCCGGGGGGCCGCCGCCTGTCCCGCCTCCCGCCGTGCCCCTTCGGCTGGCCCTGGGGGGGAAGGAGGGGCGGGGGTTTGGGTGGGAAAGGGGCGGCAGCCGCGGGGAGCTCGAGGCCGCCGGTGTTCCCCGCAAGAAGCCCCCCTCGGCGAGGCGGCCCTTTCTTCCCGCCTGAGGGAGCGCGGCCGCCGTCCCCTCCGAGCCCCGCGTGCGCGGCCACACGTAGGCGGGCGGGGAGGGGGCCGCGGCTGCCGAGCCGCACGTAGCGGGGGGGGGGGGGGGGTGGGCGCGGCCTCGGCGGCGGGGACCGGCCCGTAGGGGCGAGCGGCTGCCGAGGCGGCTGGGGAAGAGCAGCGCTGGCGACGGAGAAAGCCCCGCGCCCTCAGTGAGTACGGACCTGCGGTACCGGGGCAGGCGGGCGAGCAGCGGCGAGGCCTTGTCGGGCGGGCGGCGGTTTGGTGCCGCCTTCTCCCGGGAAGCCCCGCAGCAGTTCCCCAGGGGATTTAGGGACGGGGCTTCGGGGGGCGTCGTTGCCGCGACCAGCCCCCGCGGGAGCGGGGGGAATCGCCTCTGCGGGCGGGGCTGGAGCGGAGCCGGGCTGGGGGCAGGTGGGAGCGGGGCTGGGCGGCAGCAGCGCCCGCGCTGGCCCCCGGGGCTGGCAGGAGAGCGCCCGAATTCCTCGGCATCCGAGGGATGAGAGGGGGGGGGAGCTGTGAATTCGGCTTGGGGGGGGGAGATTGCCCCTGCGCTGGAGCAACCTTGACAGGTAAAAAACGGCAGGGAGAAAAAGCATAGCGCATACGCATGGGGTGGTGCGTTGGGTGCTGCCTTTAGGATATTGAAACCTGCAGGAGTTTTGCACTGTGACCGGGTTAAACATTCACATTCCGCTTTCTCAAATAATCACGCGCTACAAGATGGATTTTAAATTCTGGCTCCCGTACCGTGATGTTCTCCAATTCACCATTAGCATCAACTAATCGATCAAAAGTTCACTCCTTAAAGCTAGGCGCTTCAAGCTATCAGCTCCTACAATGGCACCAGCTTCCACAATGCTTCAGGCACAAAAGCATCTTTCCATATTTATTATATTTCCCCAAAAGGTTGCTGGAATCCAACCTTTAGCAGCCTTTATAGATGAGTAGGAAATGAACGGCCATCAGCCAAACAGCTGTTGTCTTTAACCACCACTGACCACCGCCGTCGTTGGTTATAGGAACAGGACCATTAGCAGAGCTGTTGCATATGAACTGGACAGGTTTTAGCAGCTGCAGGGGGAGAGCTGCACCTGCTGGGGTTTGGTTTGGCCTTTTTTTTTTTTCCTGTAAAGACAGGACATTTTTATTTATCATATGGATTCCTGTTTAGAGACATAGGGCAGTGACTGTGTTCATCCTGTACGTGACCCTGTCTTCAACAGATTGTACTGATTTTGAAAGAGAATGCCAGTGCTCTTGGGAAACGGTTATAAAGTACATCCCCCTCCCCGCCAATGGACTTAAGGATTCAAAGGACGAGCAAGTTCATCATTACTTACAGGTCAAGCCAAGCCCTACTTGGTTACAGGAGTTCTCCCTTAATTTAAAAGGAGTGGAGGAGCTTGGCTCTGGAGTGATGCCGAGTTTGTAAAGCCTGAGTGTCTTTCTTCTGATTTGGGGATTTTAGGCATGCAGTGAGTGTTGAGATTTCTCAGAGATGATGTTTCAAGAACGCTAGATGGAAATTTTTTTTTTTTTTTTTGACAAGGCAGATGGAGCTGCATGTCATGATACTTACATTATGTAAGATGACGTAAGATGTGGTGAGGATGAGGCTGATGTGCCCATATGTTAACCTGTGCTAAGTCTTTCCTTGCAGAAAGTTTGGCTACAGTGTAAAGAATGAAAATGCAGAGGAATAAAAACAAAAAAGCAAGAGGGTCTCTTTTGTAAAATTCCCCTTCTGGGGTGTATACAATTAAATACAGTGTCAAATTTTAGGCTAATTAATACTCTACTCTTCTTGATAAATTGTGTGTTTTCGTCTAGTGTTCTGTCAGATTTTTCACTAGTATATTTGAATGCCTTCCAAAGTAAAAACAAAAAAGGTAATTGGACGATGTAAAGAATATGCTGGTTATATGCTGGTTACTGTATCTTCTTTGTATTCTTATTTAACTCCTAAACAAAAAGATGAAGTCTTGTTTGCCCTATTAATTCCTAACTTGTAAGTTGAAAGTTAAAAAGCCATTTATCCTGCATAAATAACCAGTTGCACATGGCACAACTTTTTTTTTTTTAATAGCTTGCATTATTGTATTAGAACACATTTTCAAATTGAAAACATGAAAATAAATCATGTTTTAATGGATTTTCATTAAAATAAATAATGGATATGTTTTATTAAATACCACATCCAAACTTCTGTACGTAAAAACCTATCACTAATGCCAAATAACAGGATCATACTCTACTGCGACAGCACTTGCACATGCCTTCTGCTTTCAGACTTCCCAACCAACCAAAAACATTGCAAAAGACTTTTAATCTGTGCAATAGGAAGTGGTATTGATTCAACAAGACAGCAAGTCACAAGTTCTTGTCAAGTTATTTGCATGTACTGAGAGCAACTGAAATCACCTGGAGATGTCATCTTGGATCCAAACTAGTTTCTGTTTTCTTACAAAGGGCATTCTTCTTGTGATTACTCAGAGTTTTCATAAATGTTCTGGCTCCCTGTCTGTTGCTCTCTTCTCAGTTTAGCTCTCCGCAGGAAAACCTACACCATCTCTAATATCTGTCTTGTTAAATTGTATGCTTAACCTCTTTTGTTCATGCATGTAGTCTACTTAAGGCAGGGGAGATAACTATCATGTCTAAGGTGAACAGGCTTCAGCTGTAAAAATGCAAGACAGAATTTATACATACTTTTGAAAAATAGAACACACCCATGCTTGGTGACGAAGTTTCTGACTTCAGTAGTAGGCAAGTTAGACCTCAAACACGTAGGGCATTTTAGTTATGCTGCATCACGGTTATTTAGTTCACTAAAAAGTGCTTTTACCTCCTGCCATCTCCATCTTTCAGAACACTTTCTTCCCTGTGAGAATGGTGAGGCGCTGGCCCCGGGTGCCCAGAGCAGCTGTGGCTGCCCCCTCCCTGGAAGGGTTCAAGGCCAGGTTGGACGGGGCTGGGAGCCCCCTGGGCTGGGGGAAGGGGGACCTGCCCAGGGCAGGGGGTGGGACTAGATGGTTTTTAAGGTCCCTTCCAACCCCAACCATTCTATGAACAGGGATAACAGATGAAGAGAAAGATCACAGATGACACAAATTAGAAACAAACCCTCTCTTTTATTGAATTTTATACTGTTACACAATCAAAAAGAAATACAGTCACAAGTATGTCAAAATGTTTCAAGAGAAATATCAATTGCAATACGTTGTACTTGGTTCCAAAAAAAGAATTCCATTAAAATATACCACTTCTTAATGAGAGAATACTGCTATTATTCACAAAATCTACCATACTGTATAAATCCAGTAGCAAACTCTTTAACTTTTTGGTAACTTGGCAAGACTTCCTCAAGGTAAACAGGGAAGCAGAAGGAAAATGACAACACATTTCTAGAATTTAGATTAAAAAAATAAATCACAGTTCTCCAAAATTAATTCCAGAGAGTCAAGTGCCTAATTGCTAATGGTATTTTTAATGAAAGCTGGGTACCCAACTCAAACGGTCTTCCTACAAAGTAGTCCTGGCCTCTGAAATGTTGACTTTCATGCTGGACAATTATGGTTTGAATAATGTGCCTAAGTGCAGTGACATTTGTGTGAGATGTGTGCTCTGTTCAGTAGCAGCTAGTCAGCGGGGATGAGGACAGACGTTTGACCTTGGGCTTGTCCAGCCTGGGCAGCAGTGGCAGGGTACTCACAGCTCCCAGCTTCCACAGCACTGCTTGTCAAAGGAAACGGTTTATTCAGCAGGTTCGCAGGGGAGAAAGCTTGCCAGCAGATACAGGTGAAACAGCCCACCTTCCTACCTTGACACAGCTAAACAACAGTAGCTAATTGAACAGCTTTTTAAAGAAAGAAAAATTACTACTAAATATGCATTAGTTTAACCTGTAATCATTGGACATTTTTGATCCTACAGTTGTATTTCACTGGAAGCAGAGCCAATTAATTCATCCAAAATAAGCTCTGACCCTTTAGCTTGTCACTAGTGTTATGTTTAAAGATTCAATTGTTCTTTCTGACCTTAATCTGTACTCAGTAATTGCTCAGGAAAGGAAACTTAGAAGCAATTTACTACTGTTTCACCCCAAGGTTTTCAAAGGTCAAAATAGTTCAAGCCTATCTCACTAGACGGGAGCAATGTATGGCAGAAAGGCGTACTTTGGATCCAGGACACCTTAATTTACTCAGGATATTACATCTGAGATCAAGTTAGTGGACAGCAGGCTTAAGTGACTTCTTGGGATCTACAGCTGTAGTTACTTAAAACTACTTTTAGGTAAAGGAATGAATGATGTCATCATAAATACTAGTTTAAAAATTCCTTTACCTTTTAACAAAACCATTATTGCTGTTGATAAAAACATCAATTAGAATCCATATGTAAAACTAGTAGTTGTGCTAATGCCATGAAGAGGGCATGGCTTGACTACTGCTGTAGTTACAATAACCTTCTGGAAGCTACCTCTGTTATTCTCAATTTATCATCTCCACACGATCTAGCATGGTTCAGATACAGAAGGAAACACTATCTAGTTTCTTCTTTACTACTGGCACAGAATAAGTGCTCTAGTGTAGTAGCTCAACATTTTAAAAGGTAGCAAGTCAGAAAATAAATTATTCAAAATCACTAAGAAAATGTTTAGGAAGTAATGTATTCTAGAATCTTGTCCTCCAAAGTAGGTTTAGAATCAGGCTGTATATTCCTAGGGTTTTGGTTTTTTTTTTTTTAAAAAAAAAGTAAAACAAAAAAAAAAAAAAAGGCACCTAAAAGGCCTAACTGTAGATTTTGCAAACTCACACCTGCATTTAGCAAAGCTCTAAAGGCCAGAGCAACTACTGTTAGTTTCCCATGCTTTGTTCAGTGTCTCTAGGAGGCTTGGTGGTTGGGGTTTTGGTTTGGGTTTTTTTCTCCCCTAGAGTAAATCAATACAGCTACTGCAGTTCATTCCATTAATTGCTTGTTTCAGTCACTTTTACCAGGACAGCAAACAAAATGCTATGCCTTGTTATTATGTATAATCAAGAACAACAGCTGGGAAGATTCTTAGATGAAACATAGCTCATTTAAATCCACAGCTGCTGTCATTAAGACCAGAGATGATTCCAGCAGGCTCATAACCAGAAATGATGTGGGTCACTTAAATTTTCCTCCTCTTTTTAATATAGATTTTTCTCTATGAAAATTTACTGCCCTCTTAAAGTACACTGAAGAGGAACTGGCAGATCCAAATAGGTCAGGCTCCTCCAAAATAAGGTCAAGAGAATAGCAGAACAACATCAAACAAGATGGTATGAAGATAAAACGGGATGACCTGCCAGGCCAGCTCAGAGCTTGCCTGGGCAGTGAGAAAAGCAGAACACCTTCACAAGTCTGCAAGACTCTCCTCACTATCTCAGCAAAGTATCAGGTCAATCCATGCAGAGCTAAGCTTAAGGGATACCCCTAACAGCTGGTGCTTTGCTTAAGCCTTTAGCAACTTCACTATTAAACCTTCTAACTGCTGACAGAGAGAGATGCCATGGAAAGAATGCCATCCACGAGACCTCACACAGCAGGCATTCAGTAGCTCTGCTGCTTTTATCCAGAGAACTTTATAAACTCTGCACACGTAAAGGCTGCACTAAAAATCTTTAATAGTAACAGGTGTATATGGTCAAAATGTTCTCTGCATGAGCTTCAACTCTAGCTTAATACACCTACACAGGCTCCTCTCTTCGTGCAACTTCTACTCAAACTTTAAGAAGTATGCAACTGCTTTCTGTTACCAGTGCCTTTTTTTTTTTTTTTTTTCAGATGATAGCCAATAGTCTCCATTTAGTTTAATACAGTTGTGTCAGTTTGAAAAGTGCTCATTTCAGTGAAACAGTAATTTTGGAAAACACATTAAGCTTATGTACCATTATACTGATTTCAAAACGCTCAAGTCTAATGAAAATGAAGTCTCCAAAATAAAACCAGAATAAATCTTCTGACACTCCACAGTTAACTTCTTACATGGAGATAGGTTTTTTAAAAATAGTTTGAAGAATGCACAGAATATTTTGCCCATATTTACACATTACAAGGTTATATCAGTAGCATTTTGTTTTATGACAGCAAAATGAGAAGAGTCACGTAGTCAAAGTTACTGAGTCAACAGCACAAGGATGTAGAACAAGCTTTATCATCAAGTACCAGGTTAATTTTTTAATCATGCAGTTTTGTGATTAAAAATCCATCTTTAATTGATCACTCCTATGAATTTTACTTTTTCCTGCTTTCCAGTGTTACCTTGATAAAGCTTCCAGAGACAAACCTTTAAGCTGTTCATAAGGAAGAATCTTCCCACTCTGAAGTAACACAAATGTGCTGTCTTCTCACTTTCAAGTTTGCTAACTGGTGTGACAACAGATTCAAAAGTTTAACATCTTTGGCGAGCAGTAGTACAACACTGTCTAGGAGACTTCAGTACTGAATAGGCTCAAATAATTAATGCAGAGATGTTACAATCAAAATAAAGAAGCAGTGATTTCCAATCAACTCTAAGTTAAAAAGGGAACACGGATGAACAATAACCACTAACAAAAATATAAATTATCTCATTTCTCTCAGATAACACACTCCCCAGGGGGGCCTGGTCCACATATAGTTTATTGATGTAAGAAAACAATACAGTTAGTGTTAGATCCAACCACAAAGAGCAAAAGAATGAGTGAATGAAGGTTTTGTACAGTACATATAGGAAAATAAGATGTTTGTGACAACTATATATTTCTAAATAAAAAGGCTTCTAAATATATTCAAGTTACTGAAATCTACATGAAAACATATGGATGTTAATAGCAACAAGGTGCATAAAACCAAAACATCAAAATATTGAGCAACTCAATGATGTACTAGATAAAACTTTGCTAACAATGCAAGATGTTTTACAATCTGCTTGAAATATCACCTATACCACACAGGGTAAGCTGAACATTTAGATTTAAGATCATACACAATATTAGCATTAACTTCAACAACTACAGGCAGGGATTTTTTTTTTTTTTTTAAGCTGGCAAAGTGACTACTTTAAGAACATCAATCTCTCTCTAAATTGAGAACTTATCCAAATGAAATGCTGCTAGCCCTTTCCAGATAAAGCCTTTCCTTTGACTAACCACACTCATTTAAGTCAAAAGCATAAGACAGCATTTAAGAACGATTTATATTACAACGTGACTAAAATAATGACATGATCCAGGTTTAAACATGATTTAATAGGCGAACAAAAGAAGATTCTTCTTAAAAACTAGTTTTTATAAATGCAGAATATATTGCATGAGGAACTGCTGGTATTTTTTAAGAAAATATATTGTGCGATTGTGGCTACAATGCACTGCTGCAAAGCATTGTTGTTCTTACAAAAGCTATTAAAATAAAAAACTTATTTGAACATAAAGAGTAAGAGAGCACAAGTCTTCCACCTACCTATGAAGAGCAGGATGAAAGTATTCCCAGTTTTTCCTGTGTTGGCATTTTACTAATGGTAAGTTTTGGTGACTAACTCCCCAGCCAAAAAATAAATATTTTTTTAAAATCAGGTGCATATTTCAAAGCTGCTACTGCAAGTGTGTTTTAAATGTAATGGACTTAAAAGTGTATGTACCAAAGAATTATAAAAATGCACTGTAGTTTGAGTTATTGTTACATAAAGAACATATTAAAAAGACTGTCAAAATAAGTAGAAAGGGGATCAAAACTGAACTAACTGAATTAGTGCAGTACTGTAGCCAGGCTTCTAAAATCAGATATAGAAAATATAAATAGACTGCTTTAGGTGATGATTCACCAGTGTCCAAAAAAGGAACAAGTATTGTGAAAGCTCAGTTAACTTGATCCAGAGCTCTGAGCAATTCTTCACCCTGTAGCAGGTTTCTGTTGCCTTGTATGGGAGCGTTTACTTCGCAATCGTAACTCGTGAGTTGGGGTAGTCCACTTTCATCCATCGACTGCCCTAGAAGTTTACTTGCTATGTCTAAAGAAGGAGGGGAAGGAGAAAAAGTGTACTTTATTCACCATGCTTAACCTTTCATCCAAAATTGTTCATAAAGGAGGTAAGTTTGGCTCTGTTTTTGTCACTCAGTTCCCTTTCACGCAGTCCCCCTCCACATATTAAAAGATACTAACCAGTTGATAGAAGAATGATTGTCTTCTGCTCTACTCCATTATGACCATTTGTTTTGCATCCCTTTACACGCTTCCAAGCAAGTGATGTATTTCCTCCACGGTCACCTGTCTGCTGGAATAAAGACCCCTAGAAAGACAGAAAATAAATCTTCTTTATTGAATACCGTATCTTTCTAGCCCTCCTCATCCCTCTTCCAAACCAACAGTTCCTGTCACTAATCACTAATGTAGGCGTTGTTATAATTTAAAGTGGACTTCATTCAGATCTTGTGGAGAAATATATTTCCAAGTACACTGGCCTTGAAAATTATTTTAAAAAAAAATTGAATCAGATTTCAAGACCTTCCCTTACAGAAAACAATTACTAAATCCTGGTTATCATCAGTTACCATGCTCAAGGTTAGCATGTACGTGTACACATACACACCCATTTAATTACCACTGCTCTTGGGTGAGTAAGCATCAGGTTTTCACTGAAGTCTCTAATGGTTTTCTGCATTGGAATTAATAGTGTAGACAGGAGACCCAGGAACCTCAGGAGGTTGATTCTATCTAAATTTAAGATGTAAATTCTGCTGGCATTCCAGTTATTGCCACCAAGCCATCTGACCCAAGTCTTGCAGGGAATGCAGTCCTAAGCCATTCTATTGCAGATACGGCTCCTAAGCATATTGTTTTGACAGCAGCATAGAAGATATGGAGATTAGAAAGCTCCTAAGGGCTCCATATAATTAGGATAAGTAAGAAGAAGCTGCCACTGAAACAGATGGGATGGAAGGAAGAAACACCATCTTAGTATCAAGTTTGCTAGCAAATACAGTTAAATCTGCAAAGTTTTGTCTTGTTAGTAGTACTGACTGCTGCAAAAAGGGGAAAAGGTATTTCAGAACACTGACGTTACCCTGAGCACTGAAAATAGTAAAGAACATACATTTTCAGGTTATAGAACATCCATGCAAGTCAAAAGGACAGTTGCGTAACAGAAGTTATAGTTAAAACAACCCAAATTTAGAAGCTGCATTTCATAGTAAGGTCAATCACCTACATTGTTGCTAGGTTGGTTTTGGTTTGGTTGGTGTTTTGGGGGTTTGTTGGTTTAGGGTTTTGTTGTTTTGTTTTTCTTTTTTTTTATTTTTTCCTGTTACTGTGAATGCAATACAGACCTTCATATTAAGAAAGACATGGCTCCTATCTTTTTCAATGTAATGATTTGTGTCATTATTTCACAATCTTACTAAAACACATCTTGCCCTTGTCTCATCCTCTTATTTCCTAGAAAACTAAAGCAGTACTTTACTTTGGTTTTAACTTATTTTTACTCTTTGCAAAGTAAGTCCTGGTTCCTTACAGCTAAGCAGCTGTGGCAAGTTTTTGCACAATCTCAGAATACCATGTATTATAAACCTGGGTTTAACATCCTTTTTCTTCTGTGCATGTGCAAAGCCTAGTTCATCCTCTCAGAAATCCACTGTGGAGAAAGAAGCCAAACAACAAAAGCACTTGCTTGAAATAATGTCAGTAAGACCCAGCTACATTGAAAATTCAGCTTCTGACTGCAGAAACCGTCAAAATAACACTTTTGTCAGATACAGAAAAAAGAAAAAGGCTTAGCAAGGGATGAAGTTTAAACCTATAAGTATTAAAATGGCCTTATGTATAGAAGTCTGAACACGATGACAGCAGTTAATACAGAACTGCTTGTGTTCTGTGTATTTAATGACATCCCACACTACTTTGGGTATTTATCAGCAACACTATATGAACAGCTGTAGAACCATCCCATGAGAAAAAGGCATGGAAGGCAGTAAAATTTATTGCAGAGCTGTGAATTCTTACAGGGCTACTGAAAGCAACAGAGCAACATGCATGAAAGTGCAAAGCATTTAGCGAATGAAAACAATGGCATAAGTATGATTTTTTCTTTTTTTAAATAAAGTTTACTTGCCTCAGAAAAAAAATGGATATACACAAGCTCTCAGCTCTTCTAGAGGAGAGCAATGATAAAGACAAATTACAGTGATTTGTCTCATGCCCAAATCAGAATGCAAATACAGGAATAGTTCACAGTTCAGAGGAAAAATAATCCTGAACTGTAAGACATGATAGATGACTATACCTAGGAGATGGACCACTAGAGAAACAAAAGAACCTTAAAGGCTACATTGCAGTAGAGGAACTAAGAACTAACCGTGCAAAACTTTCAAGAGAAGTGGGAATCTGCAATGAAGGCAAGAAGAGAGAGAACAGTATGTAACGGCAAAGCTCAAGATTTCCAACTACTAAGAACTGACAGTAAGAGACAAAGATTATGGAGCCAAAGTACCCGTGTAGAAAGTAACAATCTGGATAGCCCAAATTAAGTGACAGAAGTTTAAGAATACCTAAAAAGTTTCTTTTGAATAGGTAGGACAGATAACAACACACTCAGATCACACACACTAATACTAGAGAGAGTGTGCATGAAATTAAAGTGGTAGTAATATACATATCTGAGGTTATATGAATTTTATTCCCTTATGGTTCAGATGGTCTTATCTGATCAAATAGAAGAATCTCAGACTCAATTTAAAAAATGAAAGCATAGATAGCAGCATAAGAACACTGTGTCCAGTATTGACAAATATGAAAACTGAGTTTGAAATCAAAAGTAAAATAAATATGGCAATTACAGATTTAAATGTGGTGTGTCTTACACGTGTGCATATTTACTGAAGAACATATATGTTCACAAAAGAGTATCTTCTACCTAATCAAGAAATGTGCTTGGGTACAGAAGGCACTCTTGAAACAACCAACAGTAAAAGAACTAAAATAGGAGTATCTGAATATATGTGGGAATTTCACGATAGAACAATTATCTCCGACCCTAAGATTCCACTGCATACCAACAGCTAACCTCAGGAGTCTGCACTGATGCCTCATTTCAGAAATTGCAAGGTTAAAAGTGAATATTTGAAAACGGTAAAACAAAACTCACAATTCCAACTGCCTGAAAAAGTGAACCATCATGTTCCATTTTTCGTTTTCTCTGAGCATTATGCAAAGCTAGCATCTTTGGATTTAGTTCTTCATCCATTGCAGTAGATCTAAGAAAAATTGATTCAGGCTGTTAAGACGTTTCCAGCTATCCTTAAGCCATTCTTCTTTTGTGGACACTTATATACAATATCACAGTACTGAGTTTATGAACTATACTACTTTTCTTTCATAATTGACTTATTTCAACAATCATGGTCTATGAGCATAGCAAATGTTAGCTTTTAATCTTGCTGTGAAGCTCAGAATGAGTTAAAAATTTTAAAGTCTTTGGAGAAAAAAAAAAAAAAGCATAAAAGTTCAGCAATTCACTTTCAACAGAAAGAAGGTAGGGAAGGGTGAGGAAAAGTCTATTCTGAGTATTTCTACGTATATATAATCTTCTACGTACCAAAAGTCTGATGTTTGATTTTGTAGAGTTTTTTATCATGTTAAACATCTATTACATATGCCACAGTCCATTATTATGAAATACGGCTCATTCTAAAAGCAATAAATGTAGCACCAAGACTGCGTAGTCGCCTCTTACCTCGTAAGAAAGTGGACAAGAAAAGCACCAGAAATATTGTGTGGGTACTTGTAAATTGCCTACTGCATTCTTTTTAAAAAGCTACATGTCAGATACAAGAGTGGAACAAAATTACGAACATGGTTTGCATGTTGTAGCTGCCTATGACATAAGATGTTTATGTAAAAGCTACTGCAAAATTAATTTTAGGGAAGCTTGCTATAAAAAAGCGACCTTGTTTGAAATGTCCAAATTTAAGTGTATCAATTTCTACTTTGAAGTAGAATGCCGAAGACAACGTACAATAGTGGACAGTGTTTAAAAGTATATTTTATCTTATTTCTTTAACAGATACTAGGGCTTAAGCTTCACTTTTAAAAATACCTTTTATTCAGAGTGACTGTTAGCAAACTGGGCGCTCCTGGACAAGATTTTTCCGTCTGATCCAATGTTCCTTTTCCTGCTCTGACCGGAGACGCAGTTCGACTCCTGTTCCCGCCGTAAGGGGATGCTGGGGCACTACTCGTTTCATTCATTATGTGGACAGGAGATGAAGGAACAATTAGCGTCTTCACATCATCCACATGTTCTGTCACTGGTTTTATTTCATCAGCAGTACTTGACGGTGTCTGAGTCTGCTGAAATATGGTAATGGTGGCTGCGTTTTGAGAGCCAGAAGAACTGCTTTCCAGAGGAGATAGCTGATCAAAGGATCGCAACTGGAAATCATCATCCATTGGGATGTAAGGAGCCAACATCTCCAGATCTAAATCAGTTTCCTGGAAGAGATGAGAGGCAAAAAATTGTAATATGTAAGAACATCTCAGCTACAATTTCATGGCTTCATTAAGGCTGTTCTTTTTACCAAATCCTTACAATGTTTTTTTTGCAATTTATTGTAATGAAAATGTTACATAAGAGGAAGTTCCTGAAGACATTCTAAGAAAGAGAAGCGCATTGAAAATAAGTATTAAGATGATACAGAATTTTAAGTTAATATACATTACCTGAGTGGAGAATGGATTTTTTGCTTCTGTATCTATTGCAAAGAGTTTCTCCACTAATTCCAGTTTGAATTCATTAGCCATATCATTATCCACATCAAAGCAGTAGTCATTGGGACTACTGGGCTGTGAAAACATTTTGAGCACAGTTTTAACTTTCTGTCAGTACATCATTTGTATTGTATCTACAGATTCTCTGAAAAATGTTCTAATGTAAAAACTAATTCCAAACTATAGTCGCACAACATTATAATGGGAAAACACATTTACCAGCATAGATTCAGATCTACCCCACTTGGGAAGCACATGATTAGTTGGAATCTGGAAGTAGCCTCTACAGTAATTTATTGGAACTATTTGCTGTTTAGAGAAGCTGTTAGAGAAGCTGTCTTTCTAGAAAAGAATGGTTCAGAGACCAGTCCCAAGCTCTTCATATTTCTATTGAGTGGTATTGCATGCATTTGCAAGACTCACTTTAATGAAAATATGTATGAAAATTTGTGTTTCTCCTCAGGATCATAGGAGGAGCTTAGGTCACAACACAGAAATAGTTTTCAATTCCTGTCTCTACTGCATCCTTAACTAGATTTCCCCACATGCCCCAACAGCACATACATTTTAATGACAGCATATCCAAATTGCATAACTAACCTCAGGTGAACTCTGGCTGGTACTTGCATCAGAAGGGCTGGTTGGTCGCTCCTGCACCTGAGGCATGGTAAAAGAAAGTTCGAGTGGCTCTGTGTTTGGCTCCAGCTTTGATACAACTTCTCTATTGAGTGCAGGATCAGCACTGCTACGAAGTGGCTTTGTAGTTTCAGAGGCAGGTAGTGGGGACATTGCCATATTTATATTCTGCAATTTCTCACTGGATGAGGGGAGCATTACATCGTTATACAAAGGAACTTCATCACATTGTTGTTCATCAGACTCTATAAAAATTAAAAGAAACCATCAACCTAAGTAACAATACTGTGCGTGTCTATGGACCTCATTAAATTTAAACAGCGGCTGAAATACCACTAGACAAGTGATAGTGGGATCTTATTTTTTGAAATTTATTGTAAAATACTAACTTTACTAACTAGCGTGCTCTCCAATTTAATCGCACACCCACCATTACTGCTGAAATCTAGAGAGATAATTGTGTCTCCAGCTGCTGGGGCCAGCACAGTTAAAGCATCTGGTTCCTGTTTAAGTTTTTCAAACAGGCTGTTGGTATCATCCAGGTCATCTTTGCTGAATATTTTGGTCATATCAGGAGACTCCACTGGTTTCAACATGCACTCAGTTTGTCCAAGGGAAAAAATCAAGTCTTTCTGAACAATTCCACTGTCAGACAGAGAGGAAGATAACTGTTAAAAGAACAGCTACAGGAATAAATTCAAGCTTAACAGTTTCGTAAGTTAAAAAAAAAAAAAAAAAACAAAAAAAAAAAACCAAAACAAAACACAAAGAACAAACAAACAAAAAACTCGAAACACTATACACACCACAAAATTACAAGGATAGGAGCTTTAAGGATTCTTTTCTTCTTACTCATTCTTTCCTCAAATGTAATAGGCAAAACAAGCACTAATTGTGGTGCCATCAAAAACAGTAACAAAAATAAACATGCTTTTCTGAAAACATTGAGAAAGTAAGGTAAACAAGAAAGTTGCTATTTCCTAAAACACGTTTGTTTTAAATTAATGTGCAATATGTTGATGGATTGATACTGGTACATTCACTAAAGTTTTGAAAAAAATAGTTTAGGACTATTATACAGTTGCAGAAAAACAGTTAACAAGTCTGCCTCCAGTTGAGGCTTTCAAGTGAAAGAAAAATTAAAAGGAAGAAAGCGATAAACGGGATTAAGACAGACACCATTACTGCTGCCCTGACTCCCTGACTAACAGTTATGAGTGACATTAACTGCGGACAGAGATTAGAGAGTTGTCTAGAATGCACACCAATTCTCAAATGCTTCCATTGCAATAGTACAGAAGAGGCTGGCCCGCTTTCACTTGTGGAGATCTTCCTACTGACATCACCAGATCAAACAAGTGTTTTGTTTTCAAATACTGCCAGTCCTAGGATTAGGAGTTGTATTCTAAGCAAAATTTCATTGGTGGGAAACAGTAACATCACAACATATTCAACAAGGGATCACAGTCTCAGCAAGCTGAAAAAAAGATGTAGTGCCATCAAAACCTGACTTTGTCTTCAATAAAAATGATGACAAAAGAACAGCAACGTCCACTCAACTTACCTCAACACATAGTTTACGCACACTATACACTGTGGCTGAGAATTCTTAGTGTTGTATATAACAGTTGCTTGAGTTTCAACCCAGACGTAGCCACCTTGTTTAGCAAGCATTCTGTACTGTCCTGTTGTCACCTGCCCTTTTGTGAACACTAAAAGCAGAAAGGATACCAGCTTTAATTACAGGCAGAAAAAACAGAAACCATTTAAGATAAGTATTCGCTATAGATTCCTATCTGTAATTAAAAGAAAGCCCTTGTTCTTCTGCTGCTTTCCCCTGGTGCTGTATCTCATCTCTTGTAGTTGGAGGGCTTTAAATACATCTTTTCACTTACTGTCGTGGTGTGTTTTGGTGAGATGATCAGAATCCAGTGCATGATAGTACTCATAGATTGAGCGACCCAGAAGTTCCTCTGGCTCATACCCCATCAACTCTGTAATTCTTTAAAACAAGGGAAAAAAATTGCTAAGTAAAAGCAGATGTGGACTAGCAGAAATACTAGAGCATTTGGATTCCTGCACATCTAGAAAAATCCTAAGAGTCACTTCCATACTCACTAGCAGCAATTTTGGTTTACTGAGAGTTTTCATTTTGAAATAAATTGCTATTTTTAATGCTTCATTTTTAAAGAAATTTCAGCAGGCATAGGATTTTACTTCTCACTGAAGATCTATAAATCATGTCCTGTGGTAGATAGGATTAAGTAAATCCCTGCTTTCTAGACTTTTTTTTTTTTTTTTTTTGCTTAAAGGTAGACCAGCTACTTATGGACTAGCATATCCATCTTACACAAATATGAGAATTTAATAACAAAGACATGCTTCAACAGTTTTAAACCTGCAATTAAGTAGGAATCAGATTTATTCTTCCCACCCAACCACTGCCAGCTTTTCAAGAAAACAGTATTTTCTTCAGCCCCTAGAGGGCAGTGCTAACCGGGGGAACCCTTTCATTTTGCCCTATTCCACATGCAGAATGTGACCAAGTCAGTCCCTTTTATGGTGACACCATCAGTCCTAGAAAGGTAGTTACTGCAGAGGACAGAAAATAACCTGCCCTAGCATCTCTCTGCATCTAACTGCAGCAACTAATTAGAAGTAGGTTTTTGTTATAAAGAAAAGGAAACAGGCAGTAACAAATAATACCCAATTAAAAACATTTAAAAACCCAAACAAAAAACCCTAAGCAACAAAAAAAATCTCAGGCCAATGATTTCCTTCACTTCTGTTTTTCATATTTGTCAAGCTAAGTTTCCAAAGCATAGTCAAAGCAGTCTTATGTATTCAACTACTTCCATGATTTGTCCCAGAACACAAAATCTCTTTCAACAGCAGATGTACTGCATTAAAAGTACAGCTGAACTTCTGGGGTTTTTTTGGACTGGACAAAGCAGACACTGATCTCTTGAGGAAGGGAGAGGGGGGAAATGGTAGCAATAAAATGCATCTGACAAGTATTACACACACATTTTTCTCAGTTACTAAAACGCACCACCGTATTTGACAAACCTAAATCCTTCCTGCTTTTTCAGCATCCAGAAAAATCTAATTTCAACTTATCCGCTGCCACTACACTAAAGACCAGTTTGAACAGGCAGTTAACTGCAGGCAAAGGATTTATTCCAAAGTAATAACCCTGCACCCTCCTTTGATTTAAAAATCTGGCTTTTAAATAAGGCATCCTGATCAGTTTGTAAAAGCCAAAGTATTCTACCAATGATTCCACTGTGCAGAGGAATCAAGCTAATGAGTAAGACTACATAAATGTAGAAGGCCAACATTAGTCAGCGCATACCAACCCTGCAAATCCTACAAATTAATTCTTTTTCAAAGTACAAAATATGTATTACCTTTCATCACAATAGGAAAATTTCATATCAAGACTGTGACGACTGAGGAACGTTTTACTGTCCAAGGGGACCTCAATGTTTGATGGATGTGGAATAGGTTCACAGATCAACACCAGACACGTCATGGGAGGCTTTTTGTAGCCACAGTGAGTTTGATTACCACATGTGTCGTATACACGAATGTGTCCAGTGCAGTGAAGTACCTGTGGGAAAGTTATATTTTAAAAAGGATGGCTAAAGGAGAGCAGCACTTCTCCTCACGCAGCGCAGACTGTGACAAATACACAGGCTGCCAACGCTTCCCCCTCAGGCACTGGCTGAAGCAACACTAGGCATTTCTGTGAACTGCTGTTCTTTGAAAAGTTACCTTAATGACAACACACTGATAAGCAATTCGCTCACCAAAAGATACCTTACTATTTAAATTTGAAAGTTATGGCAACCTCCATTTCAGATCTTCTGCAGAAGCAATGTTAGAGATCAAATATCAACCTTCAAGTCTTGCATTTTGTGGTGGTTTTTTGTTGTTGTTGTTTTGTGTTTTTGTTTTTTGTTTTTTAACCATTCATAAGTAGAAATTGTTCACAGTTAGCCACAAAGGAAGAAATTGTTTGAACCAGAATAATTAAATTTGAGTTTTAAGAGAGAATTGTGAGCATAATACCACTCAATACAGTAAAAGGTTACTTTTTGTCCAGAGGAGAAAGTGCATTCACTGCAGAAAGTTATCAGGCTGAGCTCTTTTTGTTCCAACTGTTACAAAAGGGATAGCCAGCAGCTTCAGAAAGAACAATATTGAAGTCCTTCAGAGACCTCAACTGTCAGATTTACAGTGTGAAATCAAAAGAAATCAGGTATCAGCATAAGTGGTGTTGAGTATTTTTTCCCTCAGAGGAGGCTTTATGCAAACACATTTACTAATTATAATTTTTAGTAAGTAAATAACCTCTATAATTTAAAACTGAGAATTCATTAAAAGTTTTGAAAATCTAATTTTAAAAAATTGTTTCAGCTACCTCCGTGAGGTATTCAGCATTAAAATTCAGCATATTGAAGCACAGTCATTAAATTAGTTAAGTACTTATTAAAACTCAAGCTCGTTACACGAAGTAAAAATGTTGAAATACAGTGTTATGACATCTGAAGAGGAAGCTGCCAAACTACGTAAATATTCCTTTGCATTAGTTACCTTCCATGTAGCCGACTTAATATTCACTGTTCTTCCCCTGCTAGTCAGTGTACACTTCATTCTGAGAAAAAAGCTGCGCTCCGTGTTTTGCTCTTTGCCCTTTTTCACAGGACCTAGCAAAAGCAAATAGTAAACCAATTCTTAAGCTCATGGATCATCTTCCAAAGGCATTAAAAAAAACAAAACCAAACAAAAAACAAACACCAAAAAACCCCACATCTTATAGAACGCTAAGACGAGGGGAAGATCCAAAAAATAAATTAAAAGGACTGATAAAAACTTAAATTTTGACAATAACACTTTTCAAAATTAGTTTTGTTGTGAGGTAGGCAAAAAAAATGAAGGTTCAGTGTTTTAAGATTAGTATCATTTTGTAGCCAACTCCACACTCCCAGATTTCAGGAAAAAGGGGTGGGGAGACAAACTGCTTGAAAATTTAATATATTTTAAATTATGACAGAGGACAAGAAAAGCACCTGCAGAATGAGAAGTACTGCTGAATTGGTGTCCACTAAAATGCATCAGTAACTTGCTGGAGGGAGGTTCAAATGAAACGTTTTGAGCCTGTAGCTTTTCAGAACTGCAGTATTTTAAGTTTTTTAATTCAGAATTAACAACTCTGCTGTTTTCATGTATCCCAATATTTCCACAATGCTTTACACTCTTAAACAGGGACCAAGTTTTTAAAACACATTATTAGCATTCTTAGGGGGAAAAAAAAAAGTCAAGAAATCCTAATATAAATCAATATTAGTGGCACTCATTTTTAAGTCTTACTTGCTAACAGCAGACTAAGTTTTTGCCTTTACAGGGGAGAACTTTTCAGAGTCCATTACTAGCTAGGCTATTCTGGGCAAAGAAAATGCAAACTGATCCTATCAGGAGAGCTGCAAGCAGCTCACTGTGGAATAAGGAAATAAAGCACCTAGGACAAGGAGCAGTGGAAGACAGAGTTTGCCGAGGCATGCTAAGGAGTGAGGAGCGAATCATGGCAGACAGTGGAAGTTTAGAACATGTGGGCTTATTTCTGATACAAGTTTATACAATAATTTGCTCTCATCCTCCACAGACAATAGTAGCTATGAAATTCTTCACAGTGGCTTGCACTGCAGGTACTAGAGTTTGACAAAACTTATTAGAAAAACATTAAAGCCCCTATGCTACATTGTCTATTGCTTCTAGCAGAGGCAAAGACTAATGATGACAAGCCTATTTTATGCCACATTAAAATATCCTCAGAAAAGGAAGGGAGGAAAAAAGAAAATAAAGCAGAGTTCAAAGCAGCCACCAAAACTTAACTAATTCAGTATGTTTTAGAAAGAGTTAAACCAATCTAGAAATTCATAGTTGAAGATCACACAACATTATTGTTACCAATTCCTTACAGCTCTGCTTTAAGCAGCAACTGTAAAAGATGGAGCAACTTTCTCAAGTCTGATTCAGTATTTGACATTATTTTCAAAATCACCAGCTTTGAAAGCTTTTAAAAATCAACTTCATAAAATCAGAATGCAGCTCAGTTTCTGCCAATCACATTTACATTCATTTGCACCAGTACAATCCCAAAGAGGAGTAATTAATTCAAAACCAAAATAATTCCACTGATGTAAGAGCTGCAGTAGAATGAAACCTAGGAGTACCAATAAATATAAAAATGTACTATTATTACTGTCATTTAGACTTTTGTCTGCCAACTTCATTTGCAAAACAGATTTTGTAATAATCCTTTCTAGACATCTTATTCCAGTCTGGTCAATTTAGACACGCTCGAGTTGGTTTGCATGTAACTCTGTAAAATGACATTTTTAACAATAAGGTTTTGCAACAAGACCAGGTTTTTTTTACACTGCTTTAGTGAAGCTGTTTCCCCACATGCATTACAGTATTCCAAAAGGGGTAAGGGGACAAGTCTAATTTAGCCTTAGAAACTTAATTCAATACTAGGGGCAGACAAGTTTAGAAAATGCTTACAATATCAAAGTTGGGGCCCTTAACGCTATGGTATATCTGGTCTCTTCCACTGAATTAAATAGAATGACAACATAAAAGACTTCTGATTTACAGTGCTACACAAAAGCAGGGGTCAGGCTTGGTAATTTATCACTATCTAGATTCAGAGTCCATATAACCCTTGTTTGATGAAACAGGAATTAAGAGGTCAGATTTTAGATTTCTAACAACCGAGTAAAGAAGATTTGTTTGGAGGCATGCAAGCTGCCAAGTCTTTATAGTCATTAAGAAACCTTCAGAAGACATAAAAGCAGTAATTCATGGGCATTTGTTAAATTCAAAAGCGTACGGAACATGTGAACACAGTGTTCTACTCCTTCGGACAGAGAAAAGAGTTAGAAATCTGTGAAAAGATACCAATTTCATGCACCAATTAAAAGGTGCAGAGAAGCATCAGTACCAAAGTCCTTTTTGGGACTGTCCAAGTATTCCCTGATTAGTTTTTCAGTGTCCTAAATATAGTATCTTTTTTGTGTCCTAAGTATACCACCAGAGATTTCTGGAAGCAAGCATATGGTTTTAGGTTGCCCTGTAAAGGCAAGCCCAGACCAAGACAAATGCACCAATTTAACTTCTCCATATCCTTCTACAGAAATTGCTTAAGATCATTCTCATTCAACCTACCTCTAATTTTATTCCTGTAGGCGCACCAATTTTTTCAACCCTCAATAACTCCATTTTAGTCATTAATTTTGTTTTAAAGAGTACTAGTGAAGTCTCATGTCTCCTACAATTATATTGCCAAAACATTCTGGTTATTTCTGTTGTTAGTATCTCTGAACAAGGTTTATTTTGAGATTTAAGCAGCAAAACAAACTAGTTTGTTCTCTCAACACCTTTTTCTGGCAGATAGCCAACTGTACTAATGCCAACAGGAACTATCGATAAGTAAATGAAATTGACTTTTTCTTTCTTCTCACCATTTCTGTGTGTAAGCATTTCTCTCAGCTCTTCATGGTCACATGGATGAGTGAAATCAAATACACTGTGCCCCGTCAACTCAAACTGCAAAAAATAAGAGGTATATGGGTGTCTAACTTTACACATATAAAAATGTAACAACTTTTACAGATCTGAAAGAGTCTTAGGAAATGTCAGTGTTTCACCTGAGTGAGTCCCATACACTTGTTCACATTTTCAGACATGTAAATCATGTCCCCATCTTCGGACAGAACCATGACAAATCCATCAAGAGCTTTCAAGTAGAAACAGTTCAGTTCCTTCTCCATTTTGGCTTCTGTCTCCAGCTCACCTACAAGCAGCCACACATTTTCATTTAAGTAAACTTTAGCCATTCTTCACTTACCATCAGGAGTGACTTCTGGCACCAGTCTGCAAGGAGTCAATCTTGCAGGACTGTTCCAAACCAGTATAATTCACTTAGATAAGTGATCAAGTAAATTCTTCAAGCTCTATTAATGGTATCACAAATCACAGAAAAATCAGTGAGGTTAACGCTCTGTGCTTTTATGTATAAACCAGTAAACCTTCCCCTTCAAGGAAAATGTCTATGTAGCAAAAGTACTATTATTTATCTCAAAAAGGCATTGCAAACTTTTCTCAGGGGCTTCCTAGGAGACATTTCAGAGTACGACTACCAAAGTCACTTCTCCATACAGTACAGGTAGGCATGCATGAGTACAAATAACCAGTACAGCATCCATGGCATGCTAGCTTATGAACCAGTATCTATATAACTCAGATACTCCTGCAGTTGCCTGGGTAGGTGTAACTGCAGAGACAGACATATCCTCAGATAACTCCGCCTTCAGTGGAGTAGACATTACAAAAAAATTCACTGCAGTTTACATTAAGGAGAAACACCTACAGTTAGCTAAGCCAGACTTGCACCAACCACCTACAGTTTAGTAAAACAGTTGGAACAAATAACTCTAGGGGGAAAAGAGGGTTAAATGAAAGAAAGTGACTGTAGGAGAAGGGGAAAATGAGACTGAAAACAGCACTACAGGCGTGATGTGCCAACTATGGTCATCAGATTAGAAAGGGAAAAACAAAGTCCATTGAACAGTGGCCATGTTTTTCCTGTGCCATCACCAACAGCCTATTCCTACTGTAAGGCCTTCCACTTTTCCATAGAAAGGATGCAACTATTTATTCAACTGCTGATAGGTTTGAGAAATAGCTTCTTCCTCAATATACCTCCAGCCCCTTTTTCCAGATTCTGCTATGCTTACCAGCATCTAGCAGCTTTCTCATGCGCAAGTAGCTGATGGTCAGTCTCATAATGGATGCCTTGTCCAGGTGTGCGCTCACGGTGTGGGGCAGGGGCAGCTGATGAGCAAGCTCATAGAATACTTCCGATTCCTTGCTCCTTCGGCACCGGGCTGCATCTCTCGACTTCTCTTTTCTGCGTTCTGAGCTAATCCTATGTAAACAAAGTTTGGCGTTAATACAGGAAACAGAGTTCTCTGTGCAAGTTAAATTTGAAACTAAGCTGCCCAGTAGCCAATTAACCAGTTATCAAAGTTGAGTAATTTAAAATCTCAAAGTGTAAATATAATTCTGTGTATAGAGTCCTGCCAGAACTAAATTCAAACCCACAGAGTCTTCCAACAAGATCAGTTCTTCAGACATCTACATACTCGGAACCATTCCTGAAGTTCTTATCTTGTACCTTGACTGCTGCCTCTCCAGCCTCCAAATCCTGTTTCCCCCCTCTTTCCTAACCCCTTAAGTCCATTCAAATACTACCACATAAGTTATTTCCAGCTCAATGCTCCGGTACTATCACGTATATTCTCCAAGTTATTCCCTTTTTACCATCCTTACAAATCCCATCTAATGGGTCAGATAAGCAAGGATATTGATTTAGCATAAGGTGTCCTGCTTCTCAAGTGATCCAAAAAGTCCCTTTCCCAGTTCGCTCTCTCCAGTATAGCCTCTTCCACACTCTCCCCTACAATGGAAAACTCCAGCTGTTAAGAAGTTGCCTCATGCTTCTCCCATTGCCTCCACTAAACTTGCCTCCCCCAGGACACATGAAGTAAAGGAAGAGCAAGCACATTAACAACTGAGACCCTCTGTCAGTCAATAACATGGATAATTCTCCCTTTTCCCAGTAACCACACCAGTAGCCAAACCAGTTCACATTTGTCTTGTTCATCTGTCCCATGAGTTCTGAACTAAGCATTTTGAGACAGGAGCTCCAAATTTTTCTTACATTTGAACAAAAACTCAATGCTGCTGTGGTCCCCACGGAAATCATGCCACTGCAGTTAAATGTGCAACACAAAACCATATGGTATTGTTGTCCATTTTTTCTTTTTATACTTTTGTGTCTTCTGAAGGCACCCTATCTTGACTTTGCATACACCTGTGATACAAAGGCAGGTGCACTAATCTGTAAGATCCCTTTTTTCCACTGACTTACATGAAAGTTGTAAAATAAACACATGCCTATAAACACCGCTTTTAGAATTCAAAGTTGTATGCCTTTTAATGTTACCATAAAGAGATTAAGTGTCACTAATTGAAAAAGACAGAAAATAAACCACTGCATTATTTACTACTAACAGTTTAGGAATTACTTTTTTCAAATTTCACTAGACTTAAGTCACACACACTACCACCGCTAAATTCACATTTCTAAGTCTGCGGATCTGTGCAAAAGCACCTTTTAATTAGCATGCATCTTGCAAGAGGTATCACAAATAACAGAGGAAAGCAATTCACAAGCTGATATTGCCAGGAAAATAATGAACCTGATTCAATGTAAGCAGTCAAATACATACTCAAAAGGAACACTTCTTCAGTCCTTTACCTGATGTGTTACCCTTAATAGCCAAAAACCTGCTTAGTTTGTGCAGAAACATGCAAGCAACAATACTATTAAGACTGACATTGGAAGCATGAATGGCTTGAAAGACAAAAGAAGTTTAGTAAGCTGCGATAAAGACAAAGCAAGCCATCAGAATCTCTATGATTACCTTCATTTTTTCCAGCTTCATAAAACTGTACAGCATCCCCAGCCCCACCATCCTCTCCTCCTACCCTGTGCCACTGCCAGCAGAAGGAAGCACTAGAAGCTTGATTTTCAGAGTCGTAAATTTTATAAGAGAGGATTATGTTTTCTCATTTGGTGGCAAATTCAGGCTACTAAATCACAGAAATACTATTTCTATGTAATAAGAAACATTAATAAATCAACGTAATAGCAATGGGGAACTTTGGAAAACTAACTTGTGGGTATTACAGTTTAAAAAATTCCAGACATATAGTAGTTTATTGATTTCTGTGAATATAAGTTCATGTTCCTCAGACATGTTGCCTAAAATATCTGATAATATTTCCCATCTCACAGATTTCTTCACATTCAGTTTCCCTGTGACAACAGATATTCCTGCTCTAGTCATGGATATCTTGGTCTGAGAAGCTCGAGGCTCCTGACATACAGGTATATCCGGAATCAGCCACTACAAGAAGTCTGACCTTCAACAATACCAAAAGCATATTTTATCTATATAATCTAACTAATTAAACATTTCTTACTGAAGACAGGCCTAAAGTAACTTTTCACTTGGTGGAAAACTAAGTGTGGAGGTGAAAAAAACAGCCAGATTCTCCTTGTCCTCTTTCTTGGACCACAGATTTCACTGACAAAGGTAATACAAGTAATCATGGTGCCTTAGACAGATTCACCTTTATACCTCTGATTTTTCTTTGTTAGCTACTCATTCGAGATCCCTTCACCCACAGAAAGTTTGTCCTACAATAGAAATTCGAGGCGTAATTACTGGAAGTCATCACTGTCCATTTGCCTAGATGCCTGCAGTTTTGTCACAGCTTCCTTTAAAACTGCAGACACCAAGTTAGAAACCCCATGCTTTGGCAATGATGCCATGCACTTCAAGTCTGTCAGGCTTGTGTGAATCACAAAGGACATATAGAGGATAAGAGATGAAAATATATGCTAACCTCACAAGTTGTGATTTCGGGCCCTTTCCTTGTATTTTCTTTCTGAAAGCCTAATGTTCTGGAAAATATTTCAGCTAGTATCTAGATTTTTGCCTGGTTTTAGCACACTTCAACATGAACAGTCAAAAGTTCTCACAACCATTGAATTACTAATTACTGACTGAAACACTACTCAAATCGAGCTCATAGTGCTTCTGTTAAAAATTAATCCTGGAGTAAGAGAATCAAGTGCTGCCTGCTGGAGCGCTGCCTGACTTTGTAGTGGGCAAAACTCAAGGAAAAGTGCAAAGTTGGTACCAACTGGTGCTGTCCAAGCAACAGTCTCTTCTCCCTCTTACCAGGTATTTCCTTTCTAGAAAGGCTGCTACTATAGATAGATACTTAAACTATACAGCACAACAGTTTGCTATTTTTAGCTGCTGCTTAAAACTAAGCTGTAACCAATCTGAGTAAAACGCAGCAATTTAAATAGTAAGATTAACTACTAGCTTCAAAGAGCATTTCTTTAATGGATCAAATTAATAGGGAAAAGGTCTTTCACAAATGAGGTTTAATTACCAAGTGAAGTCAGAGTTGCCTCAACATAGGATGCCACCAAATAAAAAAAAAGCCCCCCCAAAATAAAATCCTTTACCATTACAGCTACTCTAAGCTTTGTTACTTACAGTTGCATAAAGTAAAAGAAAAAACACACAATCGGGATATGTAGCTGCCCACAAATGTCTGTGCAGTCAATTGAAGTATGCTGAATTCCTGTAAAGAAAATATATTTCCTAAGTGGTCCCTCTCTCACCTAGAGAAAAAAAGTAAACTCAAGGAAGAGGGCTTTAAACAGCAAGACATGAACTACCTTAAGATCAGCTTAAATAAATTGCATCATTTAGACAGATTTTCAGAACTGTCCATGCATAAATCTCATGGTCTTCAGAACAGAAATACCATTCTGCAGAAACAGGAACCGCCAAACTTAAGAGACTCATTGCAACCTTCTGCTATCAGTCCTGCATGAAAGACAAACACCTAAAGACTCAGAAGAAAATCTCAGCTGAAGGGCGGATTATACATGCAATGAAAATATCAGAAATGCCAGTGCTACACAGGAAATTGCATGCATTTTCAGGTATGATCTTTCCTGCACAATTTCAGTGCCAGACATTCATTTCCATTTTGTATTTCTATCACCAGAATACAGAAGTAGAGCACAATCCAAAGGAGGTTATGCATCACAGCTCACAGCAAGAAGTGTTTCACTGACAGCGTTAAACCCAGTATTAGGCACTTGTTATACGTAAGAGATATTTACACGTAATAGCTGAATAAACATCAGAGTTCCAAAAGGTATTCAAGTTAGAAAGCCAGATCAAAAAGGTATTTCACCATCGGGATTCACTGCAGCTGAACAGAGAGCTTGGCTGAAGGATATTACCCAGGCTCCCACTCACTACCTCAAATCAAAAAGGCTTTAATATACAGCAAGGTGAATATAAATGAAGTTTTACAGCAAGCAAGAATTGGCCCAACAGCCTTCAGAACCAAGCACGCCAGCAGCAATCCCCACACACCAGTTGCAGATGTTAACACAGCCTCTCCACTCGAATGCACAGCTCCTGTCATTATGGTCATATGAACCATGTGGGCCAGAGCATCTCAATGTATTTTTCCCCATATCATCCTAGACCCCTTCGCCCACCATTGCATATTTCTACAAGTGATTTCCCAATTGTCTAAATACAGCTCACAGTTTTCATCTCCCTAAGTATAAAACGAATCAATAGCCACATTTAAATCTGACTTGTTCCTGATTATTTACTACCAGCAAACACCACCAAAAAGATCCCTGGAAAATATCATCAGTAACTGATAAATTTCAGCTAAAAATAACTAGATTAAAAATGGTCAGTGGACATATTTTAAAACATGTAGCATGTCAACTTTGTATCCTTCCAGCTTTCTAAATCACCACCCAGCGTTAAGAAAACTTTTACATTGTGTACACAATATTAGATTAACACAAGAATTCAGGGGGTTTCCTGTATGTTTTTTTACTGTTATCTATTTTCTAGCCTTTCTCCCATTCTAACTTACTGTTTCTCTAATCAGGTAGATTTTGCCCTATAGGTGTTTTTAATACCCATGTAAAATAGCTATTGTGCATGTATTAATTAATCCATGCTCATCTTTCTTGATCCAGGTTTTGAAAACACTAAAAAAAATACAACCATCTTCTGATAGTAATTCACCCTTTTCTCTAGAATTGTTTTCTACAATTGAGTGGCTTTGTATTTATCATGGTATCTGTTCTTGAAGTTTCATAGAAGTATACTATGTGGAAACAATTTAGTCCAAATGAATAACACTTCTCAAATCTGGTAACATCTCATTATTGAGCTTTAACTAGTTTTCAGTTCTGTCATTCATCCCCATCATTTGCCACAGTACAAGAATCACATA